GGGATATTGTTTGCTAAATTGACTTCATATTTTGTTTTTGTTTTTATAGACTTTTCTACATAATTTTTTTTCAATTTAACGGTTGGAGCTTGGACTTATAAAAAATAATATATTTTCGTGGTTATTAACCGAATCGAACGGAGATATGAACCAAGCCAAACTGAACTGACTTACGTGATTATAGTGCGGTTATGATATGACCAAATATTTGGTGGTGCGGTTATGATTTTGGTCAAACCGAACCGTTGCCATCCCTAAGCTTGAAAAACGCTATTATTGTCCTATTTGTCTTTTCTCACCACCACAGTGCAAGGTTGTATGATAATATTGTATTCTTATTTTTAACTTTGTCATTGTGATTTTTGATTTTTTTTTTCGTCGTATTCTTATTTTTAACTTTGAACTATTTATTATAAATTTGGTCTGGATGATATCCAATTTTTCCAACCACGTGCGTTGATATAAGGCTAATAGGATGGGTTGTAGAAACTTTTAGAACGTTTAAAAAGTGGTGGAACAAAATAAAATTATGGTGGCAATATAACTCTAAGAAAATTCTATTTATTTCCCAAAAATAAATATAAATAAAGTTTAGAATAAAAACAAAAACTATAAGGGTGCGTTTGATTGCGATTTGCGATTATGAAATTTGTATGGAAAGAAAATGAATTAATTGCCTAGAAATTATTTGTATGAAAATTATTAATTAAATGTGTTTGATTGATTTAGCTTTCAATCTAAAAAAAATATTATATTTGTCTATTTTTTATTGGTGGGTAGATGAGAGAGAATTGTCTGAAAAATTACCTAAAGAAAATATTTTCCTTGTTTTCAAGGAAAATATGATCACGTGACTAAAAGTCTGAAAATATTTTTCATGAAAAAAAATGTCAGCAACACCAAAAAGAGTTGAAATATTGACGAAGAGGTACATTTTTTTGTTTAAATATTCAGTTAAGACCATTCTTGATTAGTTAGTATGGTTGTATTATCACTCTAATTATATTTTTTATTTACTGTATAGGAATCAATTTTGAATCTTGACTCTTGACCTATGTTAGTAAAAGTTGTGGGGAAGAATGAAGATTGACTTATGCTAGTAAAAGTTTTAACCCATGTTGATAATATTGTTTGTTAAATTCGAATTTTGCATTTAGGAGTTACGATATTGTTTGTATTTTAATTTGGGATATTGTTTGCTAAATTGACTTCATATTTTGTTTTTGTTTTTATAGACTTTTCTACATAATTTTTTTTCAATTTAACGGTTGGAGCTTGGACTTATAAAAAATAATATATTTTCGTGGTTATTAATCGAATCGAACGGAGATATGAACCGAGCCAAACTGAACTGACTTACGTGGTTATAGTGCGGTTATGGTATGACCAAATATTTGGTGGTGCGATTATGATTTTGGTCGAACCGAACCGTTGCCATCCCTAAGCTTGAAAAACGCTATTATTGTCCTATTTGTCTTTTCTCACCACCACAGTGCAAGGCTGTATGATAATATTGTATTCTTATTTTTAACTTTGTCATTGTGATTTTTGATTTTTTTTTTCGTCGTATTCTTATTTTTTAACTTTGAACTATTTATTATAAATTTGGTCTGGATGATATCCAATTTTTCCAACCACATGCGTTGATATATGGCTAATAGGATGGGTTGTAGAAACTTTTAGAACGTTTAAAAAGTGGTGGAACAAAATAAAATTATGGTGGCAATATAACTCTAAGAAAATTCTATTTATTTCTCAAAAATAAATATAAATAAAGTTTAGGATAAAAACAAAAACTATAAGGGTGCGTTTGAGTGCGATTTGCGAATATGAAATTTGTATGGAAAGAAAATGAATTAATTGCCTAGAAATTATTTGTATGAAAATTATTAATTAAATGTGTTTGATTGATTTAGTTTTCAATCTAAAAAAAATATTATATTTGTCTATTTTTTATTGGTGGGTGGATGAGAGAGAATTGTCTGAAAAATTACCTAAAGAAAATATTTTCCTTGTTCTCAAGGAAAATATGATTACGTGACTAAAAGTATGAAAATATTTTTCATGAAAAAAAAATTGAAAATCAAACAGCATAAAAGTAAGAATTTGAGTGGTGAAAACATATTTTTCAAGAAAAATATTGGCCATAAAACTTACCATAATATCATATAAAAAAATTATGGGAGGAAATTTTCCCTTGAAAAAAGGAAACTTATACTTGTATTTATTGAAACTAGTATATAATTAGATTTCAAAAATCAATTAGTATAATAGTTGATTTCATTTTCCAAAAGTTTCCTTATTTCAAGCATTAAATCAACGAGTTATATTTAGAAAAACAATTCTTTGACCGAAATTTCCTTTTACTGTTCTCTCTCTCTCTAACACACACACACCCACCGACTCACCCACCCATATATATATATATACACAAGGGTTATACCTCTAGTGAATTTCCAGTTTTATTGAATATGGAGATCAACAGGAGTTTCAATGGCGTGGTGAAGAAGACGACTCAAGGCCGTAAAAAAATCGAAATCAAGAAAATTGAAAATCTGAGCAATAGGCAAGTCACCTTCTCCAAGCGCCGAGTAGGGCTTTTCAAGAAAGCCAGCGAACTCTGCATATTGAGTGGCGCAGAAATCGCCATTATCGTCCACTCTTTAGGTAAACGTGTATTCGCTTTCGGCCACCCTAACGTCGATTCAGTAATCGAACGCTTTTTGAACGGAAGCGCCAGTTCTGATTCCAACTCTCATGCTCTTGTGGAAAATAACTTCCCTAACACACCGGACTACAACCGGCATTATTCACATCTTTCGAGGGAGTTGGAGGTGGAGAAGAAGCGGAAGGAGGTGATAGATGAGTCGAAAAGGGTGGACGCCGGTGATGATGGATTCTGGTGGGACGCGGCGGTGGACTGTCTTGAATTGGATGAACTCGAACTTTACATGACGGCGTTGGAAGAGTTAATGAAAAACGTGAACATGAAAGCTAACGATCATATGCTGTTACAGAATTCGAGTTCATTAGGTGTTGGTGCTCCCATGACTGGATTGAATCCGACCATTGAACCATATTCTTTTGATGATACATTGTTGAACCAGAACCAGATTAGTAACTATGATTATGGTAATTACATGGTTCCTTATGGTGATTTTGGACAACTTGGTTAGTTTAGTTTAAGAATTTCTGTTAATTAGTTTAATAAGCGATAGTTCTGCACCAATTTTTGCAGAAATACTTTTCAGGCTTCTGCAGACTGTTTTTTATTCAGAATTAATGCAGTTTATTTTTGTTTTCAATTCAGTCTTGTAATGAATTGGTGTGACTCGAGAATTTCTATTGAATGGCGTGATGTGCAAGTTTCTGGTTTTAACCTCGTTTGTCCAGGCTTATAAAGTCTACTTGTATAATGTCTGCAGTAGTGATTATGGACAACATCGTTGAATAAGTTCAGTTTTAGAACATATGTTGATCACTTAAGAGTCCTTTTGATAGCATGGATGAAAAGAAAATCAATTTCACGGAAAGTAATTATTTAGAACTTGTTTTGCATGGAATTGTTAATTAAATTTGTTTGATGGGAAAATTTTAAAATTTTGGATCTTTTTGTTCACGTTTGACTTTATTTTATATGAAAATTGTTCATTAAAGTATTTTTTTTTTACAATTGGTTATGAAATTTATTACCATTGCCAAAAAGTTAAAAAAAAATTTGCTGAAAATTATTTTTTTCATTAAAGTTTAGTGTTCATTTGACTTCGTTTTACATGAAAATTGTCCATTAAAGTGAATTTTTTTTTACAATTGATTATGAAATTTATTTCCATTGCCAAAAAAATAATAATAATAAATTCTGTCAGAAGCTGAAATTCCTTTTCCCATCAAAAAGTTGAAAAATGAATTCCTCAAAATGCTAGAAAAGGGACGCGTGGGTAGGAGGGCGGGAATTCCTTTTCCATGCCAAAATTTTCCTATCAAACACTAATTTAAGTGTGAAAATGGAGAAAAGGTGGCTATCAAACCTAACCTTATAGTTAAAATGAGCTAAAATGAACACAACTTGGATGCCCCATCAAACAGAGAATATGAAAGCATAATATTCAACAGACAGCATGCAAAGCCTTAAATTAAACATAATTAAGCATACAAATCTTTAAACAAAATTTATCATTCAACAGCATCCTAGCTAGAACATGTCAATCCGCAACTATCAGCAGAGTAAAAATGAGAGATTTCTCGAACTTCCAATAACAGACTAAAGAACCTCAGTTTCTCCAACACAATAGAAGTAATAAAAATCTAGTTCATTCTTCTGATAAGCTCGTTTATATAATCTTCACGGTTTCCAGCGTCTCCTCCTTCAACATAATGATTTCTCTTCTTCTTCAGACCACCCAATGGTGCCTTCAGTTGGAATGGCCAGATGAAGTTGTTGGCCTCCTTAAAATGAGGTCCAACAGTCAAGATCTCGTGAACAAGATCTTCCATGCAGATAATCCCATGTTTGCCTAGAACCTAAACACAAGCCAAGCTTATGTGAAAAAACTATACAAAATGCAATTGAATATGAGCAAAATAGTGTGATAATAATGGAAATACCTGTTCAATAATTGAATTGTCTGTCAAGGCAATCCTCTGCTTGTTGACCTTGCCATAGCCCCTCTTGTATATCAATTCTTTCACGCTCTTCAAGTTGGGGTATCTAAAGAAAACCAAGGACATGGTAGATATTTGACATAGCGCGCACAAAATATATAAAAAAGTTCAAGAGAAATGATTTATCAGAAGTGATCAGAAGCATACCCGTACGTCACGTAGGGCTCAACTCTGTGCAACATATTCAATGTTGCCGTGTTGACTTTTAGGAACACAACATTAAAAATCTATATAAATAGAAATCAATGGGTGAGAATTAAAAGAGAAAGGGGGGCAAAAACAAAACAAAAAGACCTCATACTGTGCTAAAAGGTTATCCATTGTCCATTGCAGGTTTGAATATGAAAACGTGGATATAGGAGAGAAAATGCCAAAGAGACAAATTCCAAATGATACAACTATCAGCAATCATAAATAATATGACATCCAACTTGAATTCTCTGACATATCCAAAACCACAAACAAATAAATGGAAATGAGTGAATAGCCAAAATCATTTACATCAACAACCAGTGTCCTTTAGTTCAGGTTATCTATCACAAACAAAAATTAATTGCCCCAACCACATAAAAAATTACAAACTTGTGAAATCCTTGAATTGGCAAAGGTCAAGCATGACATAGACTGTTCAACAAGGTTTGCAACACATAGTAATGATCAGCAGAAAAACAGAATTATATGTTCCTTTAGGGTGCATAAATCAGGTATAATCCATGTGAAGGTTATCAGTCAAAGTCAAAAATAACATCTAGTTGATGAAAGTTTTGCATAGAAATTAACAAACAAAATTACAACCACAAGAGACTTGCTGAGTAACCTGTCGTAGACGCAGGAGTTGCAAAATCTTCTTCGTCTGTGGGTGCATGGCATTGATACTGAGAGTCCAAACAGAAAAGTGAGATACAATGTTGGTGACTGGTCAAATAATAAACCAAGTTAGCTAAAGTAACATCAGAACATACCCACGGATTCGAATGAGAAACAGCAGCTTAGGCTCAGGGTCGACATAAAATCCCCCTTTCAACCTTGCCTCGCGCTTCAATTGAATCAGTTCCTTCTCCTACAATATAAGGGTGTGCACCACAATTTAAAACCTACAATAATAATAATTATCGTCATCAAAGACCAGCAAAAGGTATTAAAATGACACCTGTTGCTCGTACTCCTTTGCATATTGTTTAGCTTTGTTGTAGATGAGCTTGCGTTGCTCTGACTTCTTCTTCTTTGAAGACTCAAGTTCCTGCTTTTTCACCAAAGCCCATTCCTCACTCCTCTTCTGTTTCTTCAGTACAGATTCCGGAACAATTAGCCCTCCCTTCTCCATCTCTACCCTAAACATAAATAAATATATTGGCTACTTTAAAAAAGGATTCCTATTCTCCTTTGCATAAAATTACAATAACCCAAATACCCAAACTCATATACAGATTCCTAAAACGCGTAGAAAGATTCTGTTCGGTCGTCTCAGATTGCAGTATTAACATTTAAATGTAAACAAACACATAGGAGCGATTCAAACACAACTACACACATGCACACTGTGTACATATATACCAACACGTAGAGTCACACAAACATAGACACGTAACATGAAATGCAGATTCATATGATTCTTTCATTTTTCTCGTAGTCTTACTTTCAGAGTAATTGTATCATTTCAGTCGTCAATTTAAAATGCAAAATTAACAAAACATTTACTCATAGAGCAATGGCAGATTGATTGAAATGAAGAATTGAACCACAGTGAACTCACGGTTCTTTGCGGTGTGGATCCGACTCCGATTTGGGTGGTAGGTATGGTTAATGTCTCGGCAGCAGTTCCAGCTGCGTACTAGGGTTAATGCGCAGAGCGAGGGAAAATTAGGGTTTTTGTGTTCAGGGCGAAAATCGATCCAACGGTCAGGATTGGCGTAAAGTAATTGCCAATTGGTGAATTCATAGTCGTTAGATAAACAAGTATGAGTATTGTTATTAACCTCGGGGGTCTAAAGATAGGGGAATCCTTAATTTCACCCAGTAAGTTTAATTTATTTTCACTTTTCTCCCAAGTTATAGGGATGGCAAAAAAGTTCGGACGGCTTAGGCTCGGTTACACCAAGCCTCATTTTTTTGGCCAGGCTTTGCTCGGCTCAGGTCCAAAAAAGCTCGAGCCGAGTCCGAATTTTTTTATTTAATTTATAGTACGTATAAACCGTACAAATTTTAAATTTTTTATATAAAAATATAGATTTGACATTAAAAAAAAAACACGAACAGCTCGGCCCGCTAAGGCTCAAGCCGAGCCTCATTTTTTTCGGCTTGGGCTATGCTCGTTGACATAGCTACCAAGTTATTTATAGAATATGGAATTTTGCATCAAGATTAACTTTGATTATTATCCATGAAACAATGCTTTGTTTTAGTCAATTAAAGTTAAACATTAATTTCAACACCCATTCATAGTTACTAAACAATCATTAAACACATTATTCGTGAGATTCAATATTATTTCTTTTAAAAAGTTACTAATAATTTTATTCAATCGCTCTTCTAATATGAAAAGATACTCCAACTTGATGACTACATTGGAACAAACCACGATTTCATAGAGGTCATCAAGAAAATAAAATACCGAGGGCTTGAGTGAATCGATCGAGTTGGCCTACCGATTTAAGCAAGTTCACTCATGATTCTTAGTTATAGATGACAAAAAAACCCGACAAACCTGATACCTACGGGATCCCGTCTCGAACAAGGCGGAGAATTATGCCCCGTGGCGGGTCAAAGGAGGGGATTAGGGCATGCCCCGCCCCGTTAAATTTTTTTTATTTTTTAAAATTTAATACTTTAAATGATAAATTTCATTAGTTCTAATATAAAATAGCAACTAAATTATTTGTCTAAATCTAATGAACATGAGCAATAAAAATAAATTATCAAAAACTTAAAAAAAAAAAATTAAAACTGGGAGTCAACGGGGAAAAGACCCGTCCCCGCCTTGCTTTAAACGGGTAACGGGGTGGGGACGGGGCGATCGCCCCCCATTCCGTCTTGTTGCCATCCCTATTTTTTGCCTTCAAATTAGGCCAAAGGTACGAGCCAAGTTGTGGGAATAAATTGAAGTAATAAGGTGGTCCATTAGAGTAGTTGGATTTACATTTAAGCTTCACATGCAATGTCTTCTCAATACATGAAAATTTATATTTTTTTTGTTTTAATTAATTTTTTCCATCAAAATCCTCAAATTGGGCCAAAAAAAACAATGAATTAGACAAAGTTACTCAATGACATGAAAGTACGAATTTAAGATATGTAATTAGCAATTACTAAAAAAATAAATTTTAGTAATTTCTCGTTGTGTGTATATGCAAGAATTATATTGATTCGCTGATATAATTGACTTTAGTTCGGATTTAAATTAAAATACTAATATCGACACGAGTACTGTAATCATTGTGTTAAAAAAGAAAAATAATCTTTTTTATGCGTTCGTTTGGGGCAAATTTAGGCCAGATTTTAATACATTTTTTGACCGTTTGAAAGATAGCGTGACTCGGTTGTGCCATAGTCACTAATTGCACATGAAGCAAATTGTCGGAATTGTCATTTTGTAAAGAATAATGAATTTTATGTGAAGGGGCACATTAATAAATTTACGTAACGACTGCCATAATCGGCGTGAATTCGGCTAAAAATTGATAAAAAAATGCGCCCGGGACAAAATAAAAAAATGCTTAAATTCCTTTGTTTTTTACTGTCTTTTCCCCTTCTTTACAAGATTCGTCTCTCCCTCTCACTCTCACACAAAATTTTGAACTTCTAACCTTAAGTCTTTCTTATTGGGTATTTGATTCTTCATTCTATGACATTTTTGTTGCATCTATTGTGTATCAGAGTAGAAGGTTTTCCGGGTGAGATTTATCTACTTTTTCGATACTTCCTCTTTCTCGTTAACGGGGTTTCAGTTCACAGTTCGTGTGTGTGTTGATCTTGCTCTTTGAGGCTTTTTGATATTTGTTTCTTTTTATATATTCGTGTATTTCCATCTCTATGATGAAGATTTGAATATCTGCTTTCTGCTGTTTTACGGTTCTTAGCCACTTATGTATTTCTCTTTAGATCCTGTATTGATAATATCAATAATAATGCAGAAAATTGTAAAATAGGGAACTAACGTGACAAATTGTGAAAAGCTTTGTAATTTGGGATCGACAAAATAAATTTTTACAATTTAAAGTTTCACCCTCGGGAAGAAGCAATTTGTGCCTTTGAACACGAATTCAACTGCATCTATTTGATTTCTCATCCTGCTATTTTTTTAGATTCAGTTAATTATCTTGTTCGTTGATCAAATGCAAGGATCAAGGTAGTTTCTCAATCAGAATCTCGAATTTGCAGTTGTCTTGGTTTTGTTACTTTTGATTGATTCGTATTATTTGGAAACAGGGGAGTAGAAATGCCTCAAAAGCAATCTACCCGAGGTCCACCTCTTCCGAGGACATTGAGCTCGAATTCTGACCCGTTACACCATCGATCAAGAGCTGACAGGAGCCGAAAGCTAGCAGATGGTCAATCCCCACGAGGGACTCAATCTGATCCTGCAAATCGAAAGAAACTTGGAACACGTATTGCTGATTTGGAATGTCACCTCGGCCAAGCACAGGAGGAGCTCAAAAGTCTCAAGGACCAATTCTCTTTAAAGGGGGCTTCAAAGAAAGTTGAGAAGAAATCGAAGAAACAGCAAATAGTTCTTGAGTCGTTGGATACTCTGGAAAACGACTCTATTTCAGTTCAAACCGAAGAATCCAGTGACAAGAACAATACTAGTGCTTGTGAAACATCTGATGAAAACCAGCAGGAAACTTATGTTTTTGAAGTTCCAGCCGTGAAAGTAACTATGGAACCGACAAGTAAACTGTGCCCCTCAGATGATCATGAAATTGAACCAAACTCTGTTGGTTTATCAACCGAATCACCAAACATGTCGGAGCCAGAAGAGTCATCATTACATGAGTTGGCTCTGAAGGACGATGAACTGAAGTTGCTAAAGGCGAAGTTGGAGGACAAAGAAAATGAACTGGAAGTATTTCGCTTAGAAAATGAGAGCTTAAAGAATCAGCTAAATGAAAAGTTGCAGGAGATATCATCAGTTGGATCCAAGGGAGAGGAAGTAACTTCAAGATTGAATCAAGTTGAACAAGAATTGGAAAGGAGCAAAAGCAGTGCTGTCCAATTAAACGAGAAATTAGAAGCTGCTGAAAATGCAAAGGAGGAATTAGAAACTGAAATGAAGAAGCTTCAGGTAATAACAGAGCAATGGCGAAAGGCAGCTGATGCTGCAGCATCAGTTCTAGCCGGGGATGTGGCGACGAATGGCAAAAGAATTTCTGAGCGGTGTGGATCCATGGATACACACACTGGCAATGTCTTCAAACCAGTAGATTTGGATTCACAACTATTAATTGATGTTATCGGAGGTGGAAAGGGGAAAGGTTCTGGGCTGAGAATTGGAGACCTGTGGAAAAAGAAGGGCCAGAAGTAGAATATGTATTTGTTACTACAATCTTGAAGCTAAGGGCTCAAACCATTCGTAATTGTTATGCCTTCTTATGTAATTTGCAATCTTTATACTTATTGACCTTCATCATGTGGTTATTAAAATGTTCTAAGAGTTTTACTTCCTCATTCAGTTAAAAATTATAAGAGTAGTTCCCATGGTGAAACCATCTATTGGTTAATATAATTATAAGAGTAGTTCCCATGTTGAAACCATCTATTGGTTAAAAACAAGAGATTTAGCCAGCACAATTCATACTTCAAGTAGCCAATTGTAGAAGGATTGATCAACAACCTTCATTATCTTCTTGAAATTACAAGCATAATTTTTCACAAATTGGGAAGGGATTAATTCTACATGATATGCTGCCAAAATGGGGCTTGGTCAAATAGGATTCTGTCGCACTGACATCTAGTAGAGAGAAATTCCAGGCAGTTCATCAGGTTTAATGGCAAGATCTGTGTAGGTTGCACGTCTTTGACACGGAACCAGAAGTAAAGCTTTACGCAAGCCTTCATCAAACCGTTTCTGAACATGGAATCAGTTCTCTAGGTTAAGAGGAGCCACTTCTGATTGAAGCTCGTGCATCTTGATTAACACTAATGACCTTTTTTCTTTTTTCAAAACCATGCGAAGCAGCAGTTCATGCTTTTCTGGAGTGGAAATATCTATCGAAATAAACAAAACATTGGTCAGCTTCTGAAAAAATGTAAAGCCACTTCCTAGTCCAGGAAACATCAAAAGAAGACAGCTATCAACTTACAATTCTTTCAGCTATCAATCATCTTCATCACTTCCATATTGTTGGCATAATGATTGCAATCCACTGCTTGCAACAGCGGTGGGTCCTGCCTCCTGATACTTTGACTCCTCCTTTTGCTGGCTTGTTACTATTGGAATCTGGAAGTGGTTTCTTAAGAATAGAAACTGTGACCGTTGAAGACTTGAAAATGAATTTACCACTATCAGGAGGCCCTGAACTTTGCGTATTATCTGCAATAACCGCAATGGTTGTTTGTTCAATATTTCAAAAAACATAACAGTATTTAATATTAGCTGGCAGTCTCAAAGCGGGCAATCTTAGCCAGTAACAAAGGAAAGATTAGAGATGAGTGGCATGGCAAAACGAGTAACCAGGCATATTACATCAATCCAATCCAACTTTCAAAAAACAGTAGTTGCTAAAGAGAGGTGTGCTTTGTGAAACTGAGTAAATTCACACAATTTATGCATCATTTATTACATGGCAAACGAATTACTAGATGCATTATCTCAATCCATATGATCCAACATTCAACCGACTTTAGTTGCTAGCAATATATTATATACAAATGCCAGGATATTGAAGCGTTTATCGGAACTGGAAACCTTGAATTCGGAAGAAATGTTTTTAATGGTAATACTTCCAGGGAAAGCGGTACCTTCGTTTTTATCATTTTTAAATAGAGAGAGAAGTGGCCAGGTGATTCAGAATATAACATGGAACAGAGGAGATGAACAAAAAATTATATCTTAAAATGGAACTTGAGGTCAAGTTACCAACCTTAACTGTTAGAGCTGTCAAGAACAGTGCCATTCGTCAAAGTATCTGTTGGATCACAAGGTTCTTTGGATACCTTTCTCCTCTGCATAAAAAGTAAATACCCTGAGTATTCAAACTGAATATACAAGCAGCCTTACATCAATGCTGCTCAGAGAACGACCACAAATCTAGCAAATTTATAATGAGACAAAAAGAATTGACATAACTAGTAGATTCAGGAACTAATGCTCATGCCACAGAAATCCAGTTCTTCAAGGACTCATCCTAACTGGTTTAAAGGTTATAAAATTAGTTAATTCTTTATTTTACTAAATTGTAAAATTATATTGTGTCAAAGATAATCAGATCAATAAAATGGTTCTCAACCGACATGACTATACAATAACCAGCAGCACCCTTGCGTCTAAAAAATGGCATGGACTTAGCAAGTTTAAAGTATTCTTCACCCTACCTTATCTTCCATCACACCTCCCTAAAACAAAAATAGATAACAAATGAATAGGAGTACATCAAGTGAATGAAACTAGCTACAGCGAGTGATTAATTTTTAAATCTTTTAGTATCTTTTTACTAGAAAACTTGTAAATTCGGAAGTTTTTGGAACACTTTCTGGAAGCAGTCACCGAGTGCAGGTACTTATTGATAAGTGTGGTTTCTACACTTGTTTGGGATCCTAAATGATGATATTTTGTTTTTCTTTAGACGGATTAGTGCCAAATTTGTTATTTATTGTTTTTATTAGGAAAAACTTATGTTTGGACGAAGAATTGGAAGAAAGAACGAAAAAAGGGATAAAATGAAGCAGATTTAAAGTTCGGAGACTAAAATGCAAATAATTAAAAGTTGTATCAGTCCTCATGATGAATATTTGAAAGTGCTAGAGGTCAATTGGATAAGAAATGAAGTTAAAGGAATGAAAGATAGTAAAAGTATTATCACACGTCAATTTACAGCAGAAAAAGTATGCTCCGAATTTTCAGCTTCAAATTGAGACCCATTTTTGACATAGCAAACATTCTAATTGGAAAAATATTTTTTTTTAGATGAATTGTAGCCTTTCGAGTTAACTCTCTAATTCATTTTGAATCACCTTAATCGGATATTGGGAAAAAGTTATGACAAAAATACTAAAAGTTGCCCCGTCAGATAGATCAAAGCGGGGTGAGGCGCACGCCTCAACCAAACAAAGGGCGCCTAAGGCCCCCCGAATAGGCCAGCATGCACCTTGGATATGCCTAGGCCCGCGCCTTAGTGCAAAAATGGGAAAAATCCAATTTTCATTATTTTTGTTTTGATAATAACTCAATGCAATCTTTGGGCATCCTTTAAATATCAAAACTCGACCTAAACATGGAAAGACCTCCCTAGACCGCACCTTGGATATGCCTAGGCCCACGCCTTAGTGCAAAAATGGGAAAAATCCAATTTTCATTATTTTTGTTTTGATAATAACTCAATGCAATCTTTCGGGCATCCTTTAAATATCAAAACTCGACCTAAACATGGAAAGACCTCCCTAGACCTAAAAATCCATAGATTCAGAGACGAAGGATGAAAGTAGATCGTCGACATCAAGGTAATTGTGCAAGATTTTTGAAGATGGCCTAAGAAAAAAAGTAGATCTCTGGTGCAGTGAGAATGGCGCATGAAAACGAATAGGAAAAGAGAATAACGTCCAAGCCACATTTTTTATCAATACAACTCCTTTAAATTGTATTAAGGCTCCCTAACCTTTATTTATAGTTACATTTAAGTACATAGCCTTCAAAAAATATGGCTCGAAAAAAGAATTTTCAAATAATGTTTATCAAACAAGTGCTTAATCTTCTACCAAGTAGCATAACTTGCCTTGAACGACGGTTTTAAACATTCTAGTAATATTCTTAATATAAAGGTACAAATGTATAATCGTAACTATTCATTCATTTATTTTCTTATTTGAAATAAGCCTATGTTTGAACCTTCAAGTCGTCGTCTAGAAGAATAAAATCAATACTGTTATAAATGGAAAAGATGTAACTTGATTCGAAAAAATGAAAAGATTTGCGAACAAAAAATATCCAAGAAAACTTTGCTATACATAGCCTTTATGTTCTTCCAAGCATGGCATTTCATTTTGAGGGATCCAACCCCTTAGTTAATTCAGGAAACCTGTTCATATTTGTAATAAATTTCTTTTGCCTACAAGTGTTGCGAGCCAAAAACAGCAATGTTGGGGGATGGTTATCAACAACCGAAAAAAGTTTTTGTTTTTTTAAGGCAAAATATTAAGCTGTCATAGTGCAAGGAAATTAGTGCTCAAGAAAGAACTCAACTGACATGAACAATTGTGTGTTAAGAGAAGTAGCTTTTATTCTGATATAAAATTTAAATTCACAATATATTTCGTTATCGACTAACAAAATCCAAGATATAAAATAGCTGGAAATAACCAAACGATATAAAACAATTCGTTTTTCATAATCTTTTGAACTTCAATAAAAGGACGCAACGCTCTAGCATAGAGCACTCTTCATATATCATCCTGTTCGATTCCAGTCCATATCACCTGGTTACCTTGTAGCTCTGGATTATACAAAAACATTGAGAGCATCAATTGTAGACGCGTGAAAATATATGCACTGAAAATGGGGAAGTATTGAGGGCTACATTGCCTATAAGCCTGAACAAGCATAGAGTGCAAGCTTTTCTTGGACCTTTCGAGATGATTAACGAAAATAATAATTTCAAACGTATGCGCAGTCCATTCCTGCCAAAGTAACAAAAGGCCAAAATACATACCTTAACCCGTTTCACTAGCTCTTTAGCCTTCGGATCATTCTTGAAATGATCTCTTACAGGCTGCACAGGAAGACACGTTGAATCAATCAGAGGCAATTGATAGAGAAATAGAAGTATTCCTCAGAATGGGTCCAAGAAATCCTAGCTCAGTATATCATATAGATGGACATCAGACCGCACAAGTTCTATATATTCGACTTCTGAAAATTTTGAGTTTAAACCATACCCACCTTGAATTATTTCCATAAAATGAAGCTTGGGATCAAATGGCTAGGTGCAGCACCATATCAAAGTTGGAGTAAAATATCAAGGCTTCAACAACCTAATATAGTTTTTGAAAGAGTTGAATTTCTAATAGTTGGTTTATTCTTCTCACATTGCCGAAAAACAAAATGAAAGAAAGAAAACAGATCTGTGTATCACATGCAATGCAAACTCCCTCTTATTTTTGCCAATATGAATAAATAAGTGCGATAACAGTATTTAAACTTCAAGCCATGCATGAAGGCACGTATACACATAGAAGCAAAAATATCACCATCCTATCACGATATCATGATGGCGACACATACAGACAGACTATATATGATGGAAGATCGATGAAATTTGTACAAGAACCCAGGCTCGACAGTGGGCTTGAGGTTGAGGTAGGTGCAAAAAGGTGGACATCTGTGATATGAAACTATTTGACAATTGTAAACAATTAAAATCTATATAACCACATGATTTGAGCGAGTAGAACATGCTCAAGTGGGTGATGAAATTTGTACAAGAACCCAGGCTCGACAGTGGGCTTGAGGTTGAGGTAGGTGCAAAAAGGTGGACATCTGTGATATGAAACTATTTGACAATTGTAAAAAATTAAAATCTATATAACCACATGATTTGAGCGAGTAGAACATGCTCAAGTGGGTGAGTGTGGAACAAAAGCTCTTTTAGAAATTAGTTTCCAAACAAAATTAAGGTAATCTTCTACAGGAAACAAAAGCCGAAACACCCACAGACGAGTTAAAAAAGGAGAAAATGGAGACAGTTATACAAATCTAATGAATAGTCTCAAAAGGAAAACTCTAAGATTCTCCAAACCTTCAGTTGAAAGAGGACTAAGGGCCTGAAGTTCTTACTTTTTTATGCATACAGATCTCAAATAATTGTACCAAACTTACTATTTTTTCACTTATTATTTTGTTAATTACTTTTTTCTCATAACAGCTGGTTTCCATGGTAAAGAAATAATCGCACAACTATTTTCCTTTTGTTTTGTAACAGATTATCAATTGCGGATGCTTACTTCAGCATCGTGACACCTAACGCACAAAGCACGTATATCTTTAATTAAAAGAAACAAATGACGCTAGTGATTGTACATAAGAATCGAACTTTTAATATCTAATATAAATTTTTTATACCAAGCCGACATTGTCTCCAAATATATATGCTATAATATGGTATATATGATGATCAAGAAATTCCATCACAATACAAGGGTACATTAGTAATTCATATTGATAGCCTATTTTATTGTATAACGATGAATATGACCACTCTCTCATTCTTGATATAGGGAAAACAAAACTTAAACAGGACTAGAATATAGTAGTCCAGACATGATTATATCTAGTACCTGTAGTATCTGGTTAAGTGCTTTTGCTAGAGCTGGTTTGAGGTCCCCAGGGTGCAATTCCCCACTTTCATAATCAGATGATAGTTCCTCAAAACTCTTGAAGGTCCTGAGATAAGAAATAGCAAATATAAAACACACAGCATATTAAAGAATTCCATTAAGAAAGTAGTGTGACCAACACATGGTAGTATATCATGACAGAGAAACATTTTTAAAATGATAATGGAGCATATTATTCATTGAGACCTTGTTTATGAATAAGATGAAAAGTATTTCAAACCACCAGAATTATACAGGTCAAATACACCTACATAAATAAAACAGAGATAATGGACAGTATTTCTCAAGATCATTAGAAATAAGAGTAACTCACTTGTCACCACCATTATCCGCATTTCGCTCAACCTTGAACCCATTAAACCATGGGAAAATAATATACTTGATGTACTCAAGGCATGGATTCTTTTCTACCACCTTTGGAGGGCAGAATGCTTTCTTTATCTTCACATTCACTTCAGCCTGTGGACACACTATTATAATTGACGGAAGCAATAAAACTACAAATTCAGATGATAATTGCCAAAAAAAACTAAGACTAAGCTTAGGTACCGATCAACACACAAATGAAGAAATTTTACAAATTATTTATCATTCCCTTTCCCAGATGAGGTAATACCTCTTCATCCTCCATGTATATGGAAGATGATGGATCACTCTTTGACATCTTTTCTTGACCTTCTTGCAAACCAGGGAGCATATCTGTATGCAAAAGTAAACAGGAAATGACAGTGAATATTAACTGAAGAAAAATGTCGTCTGGTTCATACAGTTAGAGTCTAGAAGATGCTTACGGTGGGACAGTATTATGGGCTTGTTTTTTCTTTTTATGTCATCACAGTACTCTCTAGCAAGTACATTCACTTTGCGCTGGTCCATGCCCAACTGACAGATGTCGGCCTGTTTGGATAAATCATATTTTTGAAGTCCAATTCACACTTAATTAAAACAATTGCATTCAACCAAAATATTACTCTTTTTGAAGGCCAACAGGACAAACACGCCATAGTGCATACACAAGGAACAAATAAGATATCTTTCCGATGGTCCATTTTAGTAGAAATTCATAACTCAAAATATTAATTGTCCAACGTGCATGAATTGATGGGAAGAAGCCCTACATAAAGTGAGCAGTCTGATTGAGAAAGGTACAGACTGCATATGATACATACTGAAATGTTACGAGACGTCATATTCATTAGATTCCAACAATACTGACAGATAATGGTACCGCACAGTCAAATCAATCAAGAAATTCCAAAGTGCACTTGAGAAAGACATACAACATGCTTCCAAGAACCACAGAATTCAATAAACTCTAGAATTACTCAATGAACTTCTTCGAAGGAAACGACTCATAATTGTTAAACCATGTAAGATGCACTTGTCATGGAGCGTTCATTTGAAAACTGAACCAAGTAGCGAAAGTATTTCAACAATGTTCATCGCTTAAACCAAGTGTCACCTTAAGAAAAAATACATCAGCACACTGCATGCACGGGTAGAAAATCTGGGCTGCTGACAATTCATCTTGTTCAGAGCGACCCATAATTTGACAACACCTAATTAGACCACAAAAGAAGGGGAAAAATGTGATGCCTTATATTTTCAAAGATTGCATATTCAATAAAAAAAACTGTATACCTCAATATTCTTGGAAGTTTATTCCTCCTAGCAATGTCCATTACAAGAGGCCAGTATTCGTGAGCCCTGGTGTTGATCTCTTCAGAAGACCAAAGAAATTCCACCTGACCTCCTTCTATATTCATCCCTACAGCTTTCCATATCTCAATCAGATACTGTCCTATTACTTGGATTTTCTTCAAGTCACCCCCCATTTTATTATTTAGCTGTGCAAACCAATCTGCGATCCAAATTTTAACTTTGCAGCCAGCAGAAGTCAGTTTGTTGACATTAATTGCTTTCATAACTCCCTGCTCAGGAAACACAACTGGCCAAATAAGAGATCATTCAAAAGTGAGTCTACATAGTCCTGTTCCTATGGAACAACTATACGATGTCTTCTTCCCATAGTTATTTGGAAAAACCCCTATCAAAGTACGGAATAAAACTTGTAAACATGATATATTCATCTCTCCTATTAAATTGCACTAGTAGCTAATTATCAAATGATTCCATTGAAACACATACATACCAAAGTATATTATTCGAAGTTACATGATTTAAAATAATATATTGTTGTATATGTGGCTCATATAGAGTGGAACACAAGTTTATTGGATCAAAATGACCGATACCGGAGCAGAGCACACCGAACGGAAAGGACTTGTATGGGTGTATTTTCTTGTACGGGCTCTAAAGTCTTGTATGGGCTTCAGTTTGAGCTAGGGTTTGTATAAACACTAATGATGTAACCCTATTATTCACACTGAATAAATATTCGCTTCACTCCTCGTGGACGTAGGCACATCACCGAACCAAGTTAAATACTTGTGTTGATTTTTCTATTCTTTTGCGCTTAAAATCCAACATATATACATGAAAATAGTAAGACTATTGCCGCAACAGTTACACAGGATACAGTAAACTACAATTTATAAAGTTATATGTAATAGAAGATTATATTTGAATTTAAAAGCAAAATAGAGTATCACCCAAGGAATAGTAGCAGGTCAAACTAAAACAAATTGACATAAACGGATAATAATAACCATCACATTTTCAGGCTTTCCGAATGAAAAAAAAAAAGCAAAAAACTTTATCAAAAAAATAAAAGTTCACAAAAACATTAAAGCATATATAATTACTCAAAACTTAATATGAGTATGATGCAGTCAACTAACAGAATTCACAATGTCCCTGATTCTACAAAAGGAAAAAACTAGCATATTGGGAAGATCGATCAAATTAACCAAATGACAAATAATATTACAAAATTTTCAGCCAAATATAGAAGAGAAAGAGTAAAGAGACCTGAGCAATGTGCATCCGTCCAGACGGTTCGAACCCATCATAGCAAACAGGCTGTGGCTTGTTAGCCAAGAGTCTCTTCAATTCATCCTCTTGTATACACTCTTCACCGATGCTCCTTATAGTCTCAAACCTTTCTTCCAAGCTCATCCTATATTACAGTCGACAATTCAATATCTATCATGAACTTCATTTCTAATTTTAAAAAAATACAACTAAAAAGGATACCTATTTCATGGTTTTCAACAATTCAAAATAAAATTAAACAAAACAACACAGAGAGAAAAGAGAATTACTGGGACGAGGATTCGGCGGAAATGGAGAGGGATTCCATGGTCTCAGGGGGAGAGGTTTCGCTGTTGCTCTCCATAGTTGAACTGAATTTTGTGCAGTTAATGAAGATGGAGTTTACTAGGGTTTTTGACTTCTTTGTGGGAGGCTGGACATGGCCGATTCGATTCGGTTCTAAAAGATTATAATTGAACTCGAATATTTGATGTTCCCTTGCTTAATTTTCATTTTTTTTAAAATTCATTTTTTTTTTTTTAATCATACATTTTATAATAAAATAATATTATATGCAACTCAAAACCTTTTTCTTTATTTTTAATCACACATTCTCCATCGATCTACTATTTCAAAATACATTTTAAACCGAAAAATTGGGCTCATACAAGCCCTTAATAAGTAGAACTTTCGAATCCAAATTTAAATATGGAATAGAACAATTCAGTTCTATTCCATTCGATTTTTAAGTTTCGTAATTTTTTTTAATATTTACAACATAACTATATTAATTCAACTAATAACATCTCCAATCTTAACTTTTATAAAATAATGTAGTTCAATTTAAAATTATACAAATAAACAAATTATCTAATACGATTCTTTCACCAATATATACAAATTACCAAAAAGTAATTTGGTTTAGACTAAATTAATTAGTTGGCAAATGAAATAGAAAAATGATATTTTTGGGTTTAATTAATTAGCTGACGAATTTATTTAAAAACATTAAAATAAATTTATTTATTTAAAGTTTGTTTGAGCCTCATTCAAAGGTTAAAAATGTATTTTGGAATAGAAGATTGATAGTATTCATGTAGTTAAAAAAAACAAAAATTTAGGTTTATATGTAATATTATTTTGTTGAAAAATGTGTGGTTGAAATGAAGAGAAATAAATATGTATTTTGAAAAAAATAAATAAGAATCAAACAAGGGCTCAATATAAAAAAAATTAAGGAAATTCGATTTTTATTCGACTCTTTGATTCTTGGTTTAAAATGGATAATTAAACCAAACCATTGGTTCTTAATTCGAATACTTGTTTGGATATTTAACTTAAAAAGAACAGCTCTATTCAACACAATTCAGATTTGATTCGAAAGTTTTGTCCAACCCTACGTTCATTATACATGGAATATTTCTTAAATGGAATTATGGAACTATTTGATTTCTTGTAACTATTATAATCGAACTCGTCACCATATGCATAAAATTATCCAATTGCGAATGTGACTCGTCTCAGTAAGGATTTGTGGGACGAAAACAACTTAAAATGTAGCTAGAAATGACATAAAAAATTATTTAACTATTTAAATAAATGAATTTAATGATCAAAGTACTTATTTGTTAGGTTATATGGCCATTGAATAAGGATTAATAAATTTAGTTCCAAGGTCGGATTCAAAAATGAAAAATCATTCGGACTCAGTCGACATGATTTCGATTCCTTTCTTTTAGTTTAATCGAACCGAAATCTCTTATTCCACATCAAAATGTTCAAATTCGGTTAAAATATCCACTCCTACCTTATAACAATGGAGATCTAAAATTTCATGTTTGGTTGTGCTTGTCTCGTAACATGATCAATCTGGCTCGACAACGGTCCACCTCTTCATACAAGAGAGGTTATGGCATAGCTTGTCCAGGCCCATAATCAATCTGGTTCGGATTGTACCGGACAAAGGGTTCAATAGTCCTGCATAGCGACGAACCGATTCACCTCCACCAAGGTATTCTAGCTTATAAGAATACAGGAGTTAATTGTTTCGTTGGCCACTGAACTTTACCCATCGTCACGATCTACCCATTGAATTTTACAATGCTTCCCAATAGCCATTCAACTTAACTCCGTTTCACAGAAATGGCCATCGGATGGATTCCGTCCGTGAACGGGTTGACGTGGAAGATGGAATGCTGACACGTTTGTTAAAAATCAATCGCGCTACTCGTACAAAGCCACTTGACAAACCCGTTTGACAAAGTGACGTGGCGTGCAATAAAAAAAATGAAAATCACAAAACCAACCTCCATTCTCTCTCTCCACACTTCCCCGTCATTTTCCCCCAAATCATTCCAAAAAACCCTTCCTCCCAAAAACGCGATCCTCCGACAGCCGGTGAAATCCAGCAACTCCGGCGTCATCACAACCTCTGACAGCCGTACAACTACAGCACCTTGGTTTGGCTCAGCGCCATACCTTTTTTTGAAATCGAAGGGCGTAGCAGAGACGATCTCATTTCCAAAATAGGTTCACTGTTTGGTAACTTGTTTATACCGAAATTGAAAGTAAAAATTTCACAAGCCTCCACTGACTGCTTATTTAACGTAGATGGTGAAATTTTGGATTTTGAATTTGAAGGTCGATTTTTAATTTTTAAGTTTGCGGTGAGATATGGGCTTTATTTGTATGATTTGAGGTTTTACATTGTAATTAGATGCTGGATTTTCGGTATTTCAGTTGAACCTTGGATGTAAATGTCTCAGTTTGAACATTTATCATTGATGGTGAATTTGTTGGTTTTTCAGTTTTGTTTCGGTAGTTCAGTTTTTGTTGGATGAATTTATTGGCTGAATTTGTTTCAGTTTTTCAGTTTCTACATTTAACATTGATGCTGAATTTAGAGCTTTAACATTAAACATAGATGCTGGAGTTTGGGTTTTTCAGTTGGAATTGGATGTTGATTTCTCAGTTTCTACATTTCACTGAGATCACAAAATTATTTGGTTTTTCAGTTGGAATATGTTGTGCGATGTTTGAGTTTTAAAATTGAAATGAGATGCTGGAGTTTTGGTTTTTCAGTTGCACTTGGATGGTGATTTCTGAGTTTCAACATTTAACTGAGATCACAGAATTTTTTGGTTTTCAGTTGAACTTAGATGTTGAGTTTTCAGTTTAATATTTAACTAAGGTGCTGATTTTTGAATTGAACACTTCAACTCGATGCTGATGGTTTTCAGTTTAACATATAGGTTAGATGCTCGTTTTTTAGTTTCACATGTAAGTTAGATGCTGATTTTATTATTTTGACATTTGTAGACATAAATGTAAATTGGTTTGATTCAGGAGCATAGAATGCCGGGAAAGAACTCCGGGGTTTGTCACGGTTGTAGGGGTGTTGGACACTTCTTCAGTGATTGCCCGATAAAACGTTGATGTCCACTTTGTGTGCATGGATTTCATAAGTATTTCGAGATTGAAAAGGACACTGTTAACAAAGGCAAATTCTTCAAATGTTGCAGTGTGAAGTGTGGCTTTTGGGATTGATGCAAAGATGGAGAAGTAAATGGTGAATCTAGCGGTACTAGGGCTAAACCACAAGCAGAAGAAGAAGTTGAAAATTTGTCGCGAATGTTCGAATCTCAAGTTCGGCTGAACAACAATGAAGAGCTACTGATTACTGTGACCGTGAATGTGACAGTCCACCGAGCATGATTAGTTGTTCACGATGAACTGGTCACGTGTTGTTAATACAAGAATTTTGAAATTAGTCGACTAGTTTAGTTTTGTCAATTGGTACATTTTGGTTGAAGTAAAATTTTTTACTGCATGTACCTAGGACGTTCGCGAAATTATAATATTCTCAGTTTGGTGAATGCTTGATTTAATCATCCTAGTAGACTAATTTTTCTTTTCATGATGTTGTACGCCTCCATTTAACAAGATTCACGATGATGTCGTAAATATGAATTGTGGTATGGGTTCTGATTTCCTGACATGTAAATTGAAAGTAATAAGAGTCGATTAATTGTCAATTGAACGTGGGGCGATTAAAATATATACGTACCTTATGAATTTGGAAAAACATGTGTCGCTGTAGTCTGGATGAATGTGGATGACGGTATTTGTTGTGTGAACACCTGGCTCATATCGTGACCCTACATCATCATGTTTGCATTACTTATAAAAACAGTGCATAAAAACCCGATTATTTAAAAAACTTGAATTGAATATACCTACCAGTAGGAGTTGTGAAAACGAGTATGACGTTGGCATTGGAACTGGTGTTGGCATTGGCATTGGGATTAAATGATGCGGTTGAGGAGGTGGGGCAACATTTCCTGCTATGCTCTTCAATCGTTCCTGCATACACACCACGAAATTAGTTGTTACAACCATATTGATTTGTTTTGACTACAAATATTTTTTCGAATAACGAATATACCTTTGACTTCTTAGCGCTCGCCTCCAATGGGCCTTTTCTCTTCAATTTCTTCGGGGCTCCTTTTTTCTTCGATGATATGGGGTCTTTCACAGTCTCAATGCTTTGATTGTGAGATGAAACAGGCTGTACATTTGTGTTACTATCGGAACTCGACTCGTCAACCTAAGCTCTTTGTTTTGAAGTTATATCCAATCCATGATAGCATTATACCTCACTTCGTCATCCGCAACTAGGTCACCACAATAGAAAATGACTCACACATATCGTCATACCTCAATTGTCCAGGTGTACTAACCATACCTACATAATTCACTGCGACCCGTGTGTGTGCTCTGCTAATGTCCCTCCTCCATCTGCGCAGTATATACCTATCTGGCATCACAGTTACCTGGTTGCGTATCAATACTGCAATTGCATGTCTACATACTATACCCCGGAATTCGAACAGGTAGTTGCATATGATTACCTCTGCCTCTCTATTAAATGCCACCTGAAAATTTTTCCTCCTTCGTCTATCGCCACAAACAACGTCCTCACATACCTGATACGTTGTCCCATGACGTCCTTCTGAAGAAGAGATGAGGTCACAGTACACCTTACCTGTAAATTCGACCTGAACTTCGATAGGGTGTACAATTTCTAATATTGTTTCTCCATTTCGTACGTGGTTGCACACGGTATCATTTGAGAGAAAGACATGAAATCAGCCTGAAATTCCTTTTCTACCTTATTTCTTAGCGCTCGCTCATACTGTTCGACAAACTGCTTCAACGATATTTTTGAATGCACATAACCGTCGAAGAAGGTGTTCATATTTTGACTTCTTTGAGTTATTGACATACCAGCCCAGAAATTTTTTTTTAAATAACATGGCACCCAACGACCTCTGTGTTCGTACAATCCGGATAACCAACTATCAT